TCTTCTCTTCTCTTCTCTTCTCTTCTCTTCTCTTCTCTTCTCTTCTCTTCTCTTCCTCTTCTCTTCTCTCTTCTCTTCTTCTCTTCTCTCTCCTCTCCTCTTCTCTCCTCCCTTTCTTTTATTTCTTCCTTCCTTCCTTCCATCCTTCCTTCCTTCCTCCCCTTCCCTTCCCTTCCCTCCCCCCCTTCCCTTCTCTTCCCTTCCTTTCCTTTCCTTTTTCTCAGCCTCTTCAGTTGTATGAAGGCTGACTGTTGTTAGGGGCTGATGCAGCTGGAGATTCGAAGTTGAAGCCAATGCTCCTAGTGCCCTTAAGAATTATGCTAAATCTACTCTATCTGTCTTTTATAAATGGGACAACAAATCCTGGATGATAGCACATCTGTTCAGAGCATAGTTTACTGAATATTTTAAGCCCATTGTTGAAGGCTACTTCTCAGCAAAAAGTATTCCTTTTAAAATATTATTGCCCATTAACAATGCTCCCAGTCAGTCAAGAGCTCTAACGATAATGTAGAATAAGATAAATGTTGATTTCATGCCTGGTAACACAACATCCATACTGCAGCCTATGAATCCAGGAGTAATTTTGACTTTCAAGTTTTATTATTTAAGAAATAAATTTCATAAGGCTATTGCTGCCAGAAATAATGACTCCCTCGATTGAAAGCAGTCTGGAAAATGTTCTCCATTCTAGATGCCATTAAGAACATTCATCATTCATGGGAGGAGGTCAAAATATCAACATTAACGGGAGTATAGAAGAAGTTGATTCCAACCCTCCTAAATGAGAAGTTCAAGATGTCAGTGAAGGAATTAATTGCAGATGGGGTGGAACTAGAAAGAGAACTACAAATAGACATGGAACCTGAAGAAGTGACTGAATAGCTGCAGCCTGATGATAAAACTTGAATAGATGAGGGGCTCCGTGTTACAGATGAGCAAAGTAAGTGCTTTCTTGAGATAGAACCTCCTCCTGGTAAAGATGCTTTGAACACTGTTAAAATAACGACAAGGAATTTGGAATACTACATAAACTTAGTTGATAAAGTAGCAGCAGGGTTTGAGAGCACTGACTACATTTTGAAGGAAGTTCAACTGGAGGTAAAATACTATCAAACAGTATCACATGCTACATAGAAATATTTTATGAAAGGGAGAGTCAAACAATGAGACAAACTTCATTGTCTTATTTTAAGAAATTGCCACAGCTACCTCAACCTTCAGCAGACACCACTGTGATCAGTAAGCAGCCATCAAAATCAAGGTGAGACCCTCCACCAGCAAAAAGATTGTGACTTGCTGAAGAATCAAATGATTTTTAGCATTTTCAGCAGTAAAATATTTTAATTAAGTTATACACATTGTTTTGTTATGTGTAATCATATTGCATACTTAATAGACTTAGTAATAATACACAGTTTAGTGTACACATGAGTCTGATATGTGCTGAGAAAACAAAAAAATTCTGTGACTCACATTTTGCAATATTTACTTTATTGTGATGGTCTGGAACTGAACTTGCAGTATCTCTGAGGTATGCCTGTATACCAGAAGAGCTCATAGTAATTTCAGAAATGTCCTGCTTCAGGGCTAATAAAGTAGATCCCAAGATTACTAAATTACATACACATGCCCAGTGTTGAGTTGGCAAATCACCTTCTAGGTAGAGTGGTATATTTGATAATTGGAAATTATACAGCCATAAAATCAAGGCAAACATTGAAGTCTTTTTCTTCTAGCCTTGTTGAAAAGAAATGAAGGCTTGCTCTTTTTTTTCATGTATTCTGGTTTGATGCTTAAGGATTGCAAGGATTTCAGCCAACAGAATCTTGTCAAAATTCCTCAATTGATTCTTCATGGCTGTGGGTCCTCATGCTGTGCAGTGCTGGTCATGTTGTAGTGCAGAGCATGGCGTGCTTCCCACTGGCAACAGGGTGTTAGATCACTGGCTTCTCTCCAGTATTAACACAATCATTTCTGCTACCACAGGGAAACCTTTTTATGCTGGATGAAGTGTCTTAAACAGGCATTTAATTTATTCATTATAACATTTGTTTTTGTCGAATAAATACTAACTGCTTTTTAGAAACCTACTTATTGAAGATGAGCAGCTATATCATAGAAACATATCAAATTTATAGCTATTAAATCTCACTTAATATGCTTTGAATATTCTATTGGTCTTGGTACAGTATGTTCCTTATCATACTGTACCAAGATGATTGTATTTATTCTAACCTTTGAAGCAAAAATAGCTACTATTGAACAAACATTTTTAATTTTTATTCTCTCAGGCTTATTTACACAATGTTAGAAACAATGTGATAGTTCCTTACTTTATATTATTTGTAGTGGTTAAGAATTTCAATAAATGTGTTTTTAATACTAATTTGATTTATAATCAACAGAAATTATTAAATGTGTAAGATATTTATAATATTTATAATGTGTTACCCCAAATTCCTCGTAATCTCCTACTAGCTCTCTTGGGAAGAGTGGAAACTCTGCTATTAGGAAAAGGATTACTTAATTTGTTCCATGACAAAGCCCTGTAACAGGGCTAAACTATCTGGTCGGTGATTCAGTTGACAAATTGGTAGCTAGGATTCTCACCCAAGCAACAATGAATGAGAAAGCTTGCCTTTTTCAAATGTGACATGTTCTCTCATTCAAGAAGCTGACAGTAGTTTTACATGCCTCTAGTATACTGGATAATTGAATGGGCCATTTTCAAAATGCAAACAATCGTGTTTTATTATTATTATTTTGTACTATTGATTATGAGGTGAGTATAGTCTCTCTTCACTGAGGCTGCTGAGGCTTTCAGTTGTCAGCTGACATTTCTAAGCCTTTCATCATAAGATAGGGCTACCTAAGAGCTGACATTTCCTATTAAAAAGACTATCAGTTGAGATACATGCAATTTGAATTGTTTTCTAGTGATTTTTTCATTTTCTGATTTTTAAAAATGCTAAAAGATGTTTTCTTTTCTTTAATTCATCTTGCTGGAATCCTTTTAAACAAAAGAGTTGTAAGAACAAGCAGCAAAATTTATAAATGTAGGATATATAGATTCTAGCTATCAGAAACTATGTTGTCTATATGAAAGTGTTTTAATATCTAAAAAATCAAACTTCTATACAAGATTGGTATTTTAAAATGAAGATTGAAATTAAATAACGAACAGGAAACAAGATATTTAAGGTAATAATAATCAAGTTAATTTAGAGTTCTTTCTGACCTCCATCATAACCCCACTGAGGGTAACTACTTCCCAAAGGGCATTAGGATATTTTCATGAAGTCATCAATAATAAATAAATTATTATACATGTTGCTTTAAATGCTTCCAATGCAATTTATTTTATTATCAGAAGATTTGATTGGAATCATCTTTTATAAATATTATTAAAATTTTCTTATGTTTTTTTTAATCCTCTCTCTGTTGATTATCTTCTCCTCTAGACAATAGTCAGGCATGTTGTAAACATTGTCTGGGGACTTGAGCATTTCTTGGCAAACCATTTTACAAAGGTCAACAGAGCAAGGGATTATCCCCTATTGGTTATAGAAGCTAAACCTATCCACTACAAAAGAGCCAACAGTTTCTTGCTCTTTGTGAAATCAGTTATAATCAATGGAATGTAAAGATTACATTTCTGCCTCCAGTCACACACCCCGTTACTTTTGCATTAGTATTGATTTAGTCATGAGTCTGTTTAACCATTAAAAGTCATTACTGTAGTCCCAAATCCTGCATTTAAAGAAATCCAAAGTGTCTTATTGGGAATTAAGAAAACAGATGAGTCTATCTCCCTTAAGCTATACTGGTTTGGATTTATGTTGAAAAAAATCACCATTGGGTAGATATTTATGCACATGGAGGAATTGCCTATGATTTTTGAGTAAGCAGAATGGTTGTTTCAATTTTGAGATAATTATAATGATAAAAGAAATCATAATATAGTTATTGATTATCTGAGCCAGACCTTATAGTGAGCAGTTTGCATACAATATGTGTTTAGTCTTCAGAAAAAAGCAATTATATACCACTTTGCTGATTAAAAAATGGGTACAACTAAGTAATTTATGCAAAGTCACACCACTGTTAAGTGTTGACCCTAATATTAGAACTGGAATCTGTCTGAAGACAAAACCAATACTTTAACCATTATGCTATACAATTTCCAATACTTTAAAATACATTTGGGGTCCTGAAAATTTAGTTGATTTCACGTGACAATAAAAGTTGTTGAAAGCCACTTTCCTGGTTTGGTACTCAGTGTCTTATGGGAATCTAGCCTTTATCCATCTTCCTTGAAACATTGAACAGCTAGAATAAACTACTTAATTGTATTTTCCAGTGACAATTTCCAGCTCAATAGAAAAATATCCATATGAAATAGCATTTATCATAATGAGTGAAACCACAGTTACTTACTTCTCTTGTTGCGATATGATTTTTTTTGTTTCTTCAATAGTTAAACTTGTGCTGAAATAATACAAAATGTGTGATGTGTTTACAGCAAAAAGGAAGGAAAAAGGGAAGGAAGGAAGGAAAGAAGGAAAAAAGGAAGGAAAATAGGAAGGAGATTGAAAGAGAAAAAGAATGAGGAAAGAAAGCAGATGAATTTTGGAGAAATTGTCAAACCCTGGTGCATGTTTTAATTCTTGAGGTCATTCTCTGAATATATGTCTTGACTATTTCTGGCTATTTGCCTCTATTATTGTACGTTTGAAAAAATGAATGAAAACAGATTTTGAAATAAAAATGTTATTGACTCATGCCAAATATGTATTTGGTGTTGACAAAAAAACACATTAAGAGCTAATTTCTTTCAATTGAATATTTATTCCCTAGTTGGCACAAATCTATCTACTAATAGGTTCAATAATTATGTGAATGCATGTGTTAAATTTACATGAATTGTTGGGGAAAAAATAAACCAAATGTCCACAATGATGCTTTATCTGACACTTTACAGTAATTCTGAAGGGGAATCAGTAGAGACACTGAAACAATGAAATATCTGAATATTAACAATAAGATTTTGTATTCAAATGCATTTCAGAATCTGAGTGAGTGAAGAACATGAACAACGTTAAGAAGTACTTTTTAGGTTTTGGGCAAAATGGAAGTTCTGAACACAATGACAAAGATACAGAAGAAAATTTATTTGGGAAGTGCATATGTAACTCAAGAGTTGACAAATCATCTAATAGAATTTATCATCTTTTTCTTTTTCCTGAACCAGATGGCCCCTCTTTAATTAAAATGAGTGTATGGTTCCAAAGCTTTCATTGCTGTCTCCCCATGGCCCAGTTGTACCACAAATGATTCTCACTTCTGGGAAAATATATTGTCTTCCTACATAACAAGAACCTTTGAAGCCACCTTGCAACTCAGTCTCCCTCTTTTTCTTAGTCTAATTATCTTTCAAAAATAATCAGAATTGTAATTTAAATATTACAGTACATAATTAACCACACTGGTTGACAGAGAATGAGAAATTGTGGCCCCAGGCAAGCATCAAAATTAATATATACAATTGGGAATACATCTTGTCATGAAGGAGTGTCATCTGTCTAGTATGCAGAGAGAAGCTGAGCTGAGCAGTCCGGGACCTCCTCTGACCAGACCTCTATCTTGGGTAAGGTTGATGAAATCCCATGCACCATCTGCCTGGTCCTACTCTTTCTGATGCTTTGTTTTCTGTTTTTCTAGGTGAAATTTAACTGAAACTCCCCAATAACTGCCTCTTTCATCTTCTTAGACGTCTCTGGCTTCTATTAAGTATGAACATTTGTAGGTAATTTTTTTCTCTTATTGTTTCTATTTTAGTTTCATGGCCAGTTCTGAAGGGTTATCAGGTCTGGCTCTTTCCCAGGCATATTGTAGAAGTGTGGCTTTGCTGTGCACCCTATACTTAAATGCACTGGGGAGGATGTAACAGCAAATAGGCTATAATTAAGTCTTTGTGTGATGCAGGGTCAAGTATCATCTGAAGGCTGCTGAGCTGTGAGAGTAAGCTAAAACACTCTTGATTCTTACAGAAGAAACAGGCACCTTATGCATGCAAGTAGGTTCTTTCTGGTTTTCACCAAAAATTGGGCTTACCAAGATTTCTGAGGTACTGTTTTTCAATACCTTTCAGCTAAAGGATTGTGCTGGCCTGCGTAAAATTGATACATGCCGAAATGATGCCTCTCAATTAGCAATTACCAGGCTTTGCCCTCTGAAATTGATTTTAAAGGAAAATACATCATTCCTTCTTCATTTTTTAAGAATGCAAAAAGCAACCCTAGGCTGTAGCCCAGATTCCATAAGAAGCAAAAGGAATCAGCCAAAGTATTATTCGAATAAAGGAGGATAATAAGACAAGGAAAGAAATGGAAAATTAGTAATGATTTCACAATCAAGTAGTTTTTTGTTTGGCCTCATTGTTAACTTCGTGAACTTTTATAATAACACTTTGCCCACATTTGCAGCTTCCCTGCTGGTACAGCATACTTACTCTTATGGGGCTTTATTCTTTTTGGTGGTGGTTGTTATTTTGTTAGCCCATTGTGTTATTTTTTTTCCTCCAGAAGGGGCACATTGTAATGGATCCATTTACCAGTTTTTTTAATTGGGTCCATTGCTTCTGCCATGAGAGGAAAGCTGAATGCTGACATTTTTCATACAAATCCTGTGCACCTTTATTGAAAGCGAAAGGAAGATAATGGCTCTGGCAGCTGTTTTCTAATAAGGTCTCCCCTTAATGGCCTTAGAAAGTAAATTAGAAAACATGGCTGCAGTTGGTGTTTCTTGATCGGATCCATTCTTCTTGCCCAAAGGATGTGGAGGCTAGACAGCATTGCCTCCATTAGATGCCATCTTCTTTCTCAGAAATCGAAGCTTTTTATGTAGCTTTCACTTTACACTGCACAGGAATGTGGATGACTGCATCTAACTGTAAGCAAGTCTGATATTAAGCTGAGCTGATGATGGAAACAACCATTTGTTACATTTGCCTTTGATTGTAAATAACATTAATATCTCTTTTCTTCCAATATTTTCTCAAAATTAAGATTCATTTTTTAGCACTCAGAAAACATTTATTTATCTTTCTTATTTTAAAAACAGAAACAATTATAATAGATGACTATTTTTTCCTGTATTTAGCAACCGATTTTACAGACAGTTAAATTACTCTAACAAGAAGATTAATCAACTTTTAATAAGAAACTGCAATGTTGATTTTATTGTATATGTACTTTATGCTACTCTAAAATATGCCAACTAGAAGTTTATGTATATTAAAATACCTATACCCACTTGTACCCGTGGCTATTAAACAATTAACCCACTTTTCATGGGTAATCAACCCACAATAATTTGGTTTGGGTGTTCATTACCCAGATTAATTCAAATAAAAAAGACACAGTGAGGCAGAAATTGGATAAGTGGATACTATCTAATCCCAGCTGTCTTAATTTTCCATAGGGAAGTCTGAATTGGATTTTGACAAAATACTTCTCTTCATCACAACCCCTCCAATCAAATACAATGTGATTTTTTTCTATTCCTTAAATTATTCTTCCATGAATTGTATGTAGTTAATAGTCTTCAAAATTCTGAAGAACTAAGTTATAAAAATCTCTAACTCCCACTTACCCATACCCTACTTAATTAAAAATTATTTTATTTACACATATATTCATATACCTAAAATACAAACAATAAATGTTAAACAGTTAGTAAAGCCTTCTTAAAGCTATAATGAATTGACTTTAAATTTTTAGCAAAAAAAAATTATAAAATCTAGCAATGATGCTCAGTTCTTCTGATTTTTTTTTTCATTTTATAGCCCGCAGCTGCTGCCAGTTAATCAAGGGTCAAAAGAACTCAAAGAACAATATGTGTCACCTCAGAGTATTTGATTTATTTTATAATTTAACTCCTCCTCCAAAGACCAAGGTATATGTATCTTCATATGATAATCAGCACCTAGGAAGATTAGGTTTTTCCATATAATTAGATCTATCCACATATAAAAATATAATTGAAAATAATCTAAATATTCAAACTAAGGAATTTTAAAATAAATGTTAGTATTCCCATGCAGTATGAGTACCCATGTAAGGTAATGTTTACGAAGACTGTTTGATAACTTTGACACTGCTTATATGTTTCTTCAGTGGTTCTTAACCTGGGCTAAACTTTACAGTCACCTAGGGTGCATTTAAAAGAATAAATATGACTAGCGCCACCTCGAGGGATTCTGATTTAATTGGTCTTGACTAGGATCTGAGCTTAAGTATATTTTAAAAATCACAGAGGATTATTATTTTCTATAAAAATCATGATGTCAACTTGTAAATACAGTATAATTAAACTGTTTTTATAGTCCTCCAAATATTCTTGTAGGCAAGAAGGATATCTAGAAAGAAATGTTTTCAAATAATGTGTTATTGAACTTAGGTAATGCAACTTTGAATAATAATTATTTTTCATTTGGATACATTTTTGCACTGGGTGTGTGTTTGTTGAGCTTGAATTTACTTAAAATGAAATTAAAGGCAAATCATATCCAAATGTAGATTTGAAAAAGGAATATCTTAGAAATACAGACTTAGACAATTTCATCAGAAATATACTGCATAAAGATTTATTAGTTGATATAATCTTCCTTCTACGTATTCACATACACGAGCACACAGTCTCTTGTGTTCAGACCATTCATTCACACATCGAAGTATGATGTTATTCTTTGAAGGGCTGACTCATACCATTTATATATTTCTTTGTCAGAACATAGGAAGCCATATAAGTGAGCATTATATAGATATGTAGAAAAACACTGGTGGATAAGCACCATCTGTTTTTCAACCTTAGCTGTTCTACCTAGAGTGACTGTTATATTCTAAGACACAGTAAACAACCCCAGAAGAAAGCTACAGAAAAATATTAGGAGAATTTAAGGATAACACTCAAGCCAAATCTTTTTTTCTCCCAATTTAGGTTAGAGACACTTATAAAGAATATTCTATAAGAATAGTGTAATACAGTTACATAAATATTTTGTGCATAGCATTAATATTATGTTCTGTAACCACAATTAAGTCTTCTCAGTTTTGTTTAGTAATTTAAAAAATAAAGCCATTTTTTGTTATTATGGTGATTAATTTTATGCGTCAACTTGACTGGGCGATGGGTGCCCAGACATTTGGTCAAATATTATTCTGGATGTATCTGTGAAGGTACAGATTAAAAGTTGACTCTATGGACTGAGTAATGCAGATTGTCCTCACTGATGTGGATGGGCTCCATTCAAGCAAGTGAAAGCCTGTATAGATCAAAAAGCCTGAGTAGGAGGGACCTCCTCCTGCTTGATTACTTTGAGTTGGGATGCAGCTCTTTTGATTTAAACTAAAGCAATTCTTCTTCTTGGGTCTCAAGTCTTTCAGCTTCCAAACAAATTTATACCATTAGTGCTTCTGGTTCTGAGATCTTTGGTCACAGACTAGAAGTATATATTAGCTCTTCTGTATCTCCAGTTTGCCAAATGAAAATCTTGGGAGTTCTCAGCCTCTGTGATTGTGTGAGCTAAGTCCCTGTTAAACACACACACTCACACACACACACACACACACACCACACACACATACACACATACACACACCCTATTGCCCCATTGGGCTGTTTCTGCAGAGGACTATAGCCTAATGTCTAATAATTAATACAATTAGTATAGTCATGAAAAAATATTTACTATGCAAATAAACAGTAAAATAGTGTGACTAGATTTTAGTCTTCGAGTTGAATATTACTCATGTTAGGCAACTTGAGACTGTTTTAAATATTAAAGCCTTACAAAACTTTTACTTCTACTGAATTGCTTCATATGACGCATAGTTTTAGTTAGTTTCATATGTAGACCATGATTGTTTAGTAAATCCTTAAAAAAAAACCACTGGAATTTCTAATGGCTTTCACTATTTTTTTTTTTTTTCTGTGTAAAGGAACACAAGTCTTCCCCAAAGCCTCAAAAATATTCACCTCTAATTGAAAATCTACTTGTTCCCGAAGACGTTTTCCCAGAGTCCCTTGGCTGTATGCTTTCCATACAAAAGAACTGATTTCCAGGTTTAGTGCATAACTCCTATCCTCATGCATTAGTTTCATAGCATTCATGAACTAGATCCACTGATCCTGGACTCAGTATCACCAGATTTTGGATATTCTTACAATATTGATTCTATATATTCCTCTTTCCCCAAGTATTTTTAGGGAGATATTTTGCCAGTAACAGTCTTATAAAAAACAGAAAGTGTGTTTTCTTTATCCTTATTGTTGAAATATAATTTTTCTGAGAATACAATGTTAGGATGACTTTTTAATTTTTTATTGCCACTTTAAAGACTTTGATGCCTTTTGCTTACATTACAGCTGTTGTAATTCTTTTGTCTATTTTTTCTTTATTCATATTCTCAAAGAGATTGTATTTATTTATTTATATATTTATTTTTGAGAGACGGTCTTGCTCAATTGCCCAGACTGGGGTGCAGTGGCATGAGCATGGCTCACTGCAGCCTCGACCTTCTGGGCTCAAGCAATTCTCCCATCTCAGCCTCCCCAGTAGCTGTGACAACAGGTGCATGCCATTAC